CCCCCCCCCCCCCCCCCCCCACAACCTAAGAACTTGGTTTTGCGAACCTAATTTAACTAGTTAAAACATATACCAACGACCAAGAGCTAGATGTTCGAATCATAAAAACTTCAAACCGAAGCTACAATTCACCAAAGGGATGTCCAAAACAGCATAAGAAAACATCAGAATTAAGAACCGAAAGAAACAGAAGAAAGGGAGAGAAAGAAGACTGACCACAGATGCGCATAGGAGCTTTCAAGCGAAGAAGATTTGGTTGAGAGAGGAAAATTTGCCTGGCGTTCACACACAGATGGCGGATTTCAGCCTCTGAAAGCTGAACCTGTTTGCCTCCTCTCCCTTCCAACAGCCTTCTAATTATATCATCCAAAACTCCCTTCTCCATCCCTTCCATTGTCATCATCATCCTTCCCCACAGTTTCCTCCAAGATTCACTCCACAAATATCAACTTCTCTGCCCTAAAACTTGCCCTAATTCCTCAATTTCGCCCGTTTTAACAACGAATGGATCTTCAAAAGAGCGAAAAATCAGTATCGGCTTGTTTCAAGTTGAAGGAAATCTTCCAAATCGAAGAAAACTAAACATCCAACTCTTCTAAAGAAGCACAAAATCAAATCAAAGTCGAAAAGCTTCCGATTCACGAATTCAAACAACACAAACAAGAAGAAGAAGAAGAAGAAGAAGAAGAAGAAAATGAGTCAACACAGAGAAGCCGAGCAACAAATATACGAAAAGATTGCGATTCACTAAATCTCGGCGACAGAGAGAGAGAGAGAGAGAGAGAGAGAGAGAGAGAGAGAGAGAGAGAGGTTCTTACAGATTCGAGAGCGGCAAGCTCTGAAAATGGATCGAGAATGAGGGATAAGGAATTTCTCGATTCGTTTTGCATTTTTGTTGAAATCTTCAAGCGAGAGCTGACCGCGCAAGATAGCGAAATGGCGCACCTAGGAGATCTGGAATTGGCCATGGATGATGCGTCTACTTCTGAATTGGGTTTCTTCCATTATTACAATCAAAACAAGTAATTGATAATGTTCTTAACTTCGTGCTTATCTGAATCCCTAATTGATCTTCTCTTTTGGAAACATTCAAACTGATGAAGAATCAAGTAATCATAATCAATTGTAATGGACATTTTACACAAAATTTCATATATACATATATAAATACTTAACCACCTATCTAATATTTAATATTCAAATAGTTGTCATGAGAATAACCGAGGGGCACATATGTAGGCTCAAATGGGTTGTACACGGGTTCGGTTGGATTGAGTTGGAAAAATAATTTAGACCAACCTAAAAAATTTGGATCAATTAAGTTGATGATTGGAGAAACCTGAATATAATTCACAACTCAATCCAATCATCTATTTTTTCAAATTGGATTGTTGGTGCAGTAAGCTAATACTTATATGTAATAAGCCTTGTTGTTTTTGCTTACGTTCTCATATAACACCAATTTCAAATTTTTATGTTGGCTTTTGCTTACATTCCCATATAACACAAATTTCAAATGTTCAAATCTTGCTTTCAAAACTCTCTTTCGAAATCTCTTTGTCCCGTTTTTTAAAACTTTTTTCTTGAACTAGGGCCAGAGGCTTGAACATACGTCACTTGGCCGTAGGCGACGTAAGAACGAATAGGATAACTCACTTGTTGCTGGGAAATGAGTGTCGCACAATCGCAAGTCCGCTACTATCGAAGTGCGATTGTGACAACTTTTTTAATTATTTAAAAAGATTATATTTATCAATTAAATTAATAACGAAAATCTCATAAAGTTTAAAATATCAAACATTTACCAATCACAATGTATCATTAACCTCGGTTATAAATATTAAATCAGGGTTGGACCATGATAACAATTAATACAAAGATATCATTATCTCATTGGTGCAAAAGAGTTTGGTACACGTCCCATTTGGGGTAATAAGTAACATGTTGCCAACTTGGTGGCCACATAGAGGTTGCATTCTCAACCATAATGGTCATATCAACCACTCTTTAACATTTTTCAAAATGAACGATAATAAGTGTTGCACTTAAATTTTGACAATCGGATCAAATTTAAAGAAATAGAGAGCAGCTAAGGTTGAATATGAATCAATCTAAATTTGAGATGAAATTGAGCTCAGATGATGAAGCAAAAGGGCCAAAAGTCCATAAGTCTAGCTTAGCCCAAGTCGATCTGAGACCATGTGGCATGCCCTTACATGTCTAGAGTGTGAGATTCCACATCGGTTTGAGAGAGGAACAAGAGTGTGGAAACCTCTCCCTAGTTGACGCGTTCTGTACTCCTTAGTACTCCTTAGATAAATGTACTCCTAAGAAAAAAGTACTCCTTAGATAAATGTACTCCTAAGAAAAAAGTACTCCACACAAATGTATACCCATAAAAGAACTACAAAACAAAAAAACGTACTACTGTGAGGCTGATGGCAATACGTAAAGGGCCAAAGCAGACAATATATACTAATAGTGGCCTTTGAGTTGTTACAAATGACATCAGAACTAGACACTGGGCGGTATGTCAACGAAGACGTTGGGCTTCCAAAGAGACGATTTGTGAGATCCCACATCGATTGGAGAGGGGAACGAAACATTTCTTATAACGGTGTGGAAACCTCGTCCTAGTAGACACATTTTAAAATTAGGAGACTGACGATGATACGCAACAGGCCAAAGCGGACAATCTCTGCTAGCAGTGAGCTTGAGTTGTTACACAGGGTCTAATGATTCACGGCGCCAATTCAACATTGACCTAATCCTATTGGAAAAAAGGAGATGAAACTCTAAGTCAATCTAACAAATATACCTCAGTTATCAAACTCTTAGCTTGCTGCACTTCTTTTCTCTAAGAATGGGACACCACAAGCTCTGATCTTGCATCGTATGTGGAAAATAAGAGGATTTTACTGAAATAGATATGAGCAAGAAAGCTATGGGTTCAAAAGAGAAATTTGATTAAGAACATCATTCACAGAGAACGAGAGAGGGTACTTCTCAAATAACGGTGAATCTACTATTACAAATGAGTTCATCTTAGCTATGGGAGATCCAACTAAATGTTATTAGAAAAAAAAAAAATTAAAATTGAGAAATTTTGATTCATGCCCTTATCGACATATACATAGACCCATTAAAATTTAAGAATTCGTCGTTTATTATGTGAAGAAGAGTTACGATAAGAGATCACGTGTTGTATCGGAATGTGGTGGGAGAAGTTGATCGTGTATCGATGAATGATCCTCCTTGGATGATTTAGACTCGTTCATATCGGAATGTGGTGGAAGAAGTTGATCGTGTATCGATGAATGATCCTCCTTGGATGATTTAGACTCGTTCATGTAAATGACGTAGATTACCAATTGCATGACTCCAAGAAGGAATCCAATCAAATTGGGTACCTACTCAATAGATCAACAACATATCAAATCGACTTCAATGTCGAGATTTCAATTTCATCAAATTATACTGTTCTGAAAATTGAATATATTCATCTAAAAAAACTAAAAGGTTATTAGTAGAGTAACCAATATGAATAGAAAATGTCCTAAAAAAGCTCGAGTTCAAACACGGGAACACACGATAGAAACTAAAGCAAAAATAATACCGAGCAAGACCATACTTTTATTGACATTTTTGTGAAATTGTGCAACGGCTCAAGCTCAAACCCACCGCCATCAGATATTGCCATAAGACTTTCCCTGGGTTTTCCCTTTCAGGCTTCACCTCAAGGCTTTAAAACACGTTTGCTACGGAAGGGTTTCCGCACCCTTATAAAGGGTGTTTCGTTCTCCTCCCCAACCTATCTTCTCTGGCATTGGTTCCTTTCTCCAATCGATATGGGACCCCACTAAATCCACCCCCTTCGGGGCCCAGCATCCTTACTGGCACACTGCCTCGTGTCTAACCCCCTTTAGGGAACAACCTCCTTGCAGGCACATTGTCCAGTGTTTGGCTCTGATACCATTTGTAACCGCACAGGTCCACAACTAGCAAATATTATCCTCTTTTGGCTTTTCTTTTCGAGCTTCCCCTCCATTGTGAGAGTCTCACGTGGGTTAGGGAGGAGAACGAAACACCCTTTGTAACGACCCAGGCCCACCGCTAGTAGATATTGTCCTCTTTGGACTTTCTCTTTCGGGTTTCCCCTCAAGGCTTTAAAACGCGTATGCTAGGAGAAGGTTTCCACACCCTTTATAAGGGTGTTTTGTTCTCCTCCCCAACTAATGTGAGACATTACAAATTGGGACCTCGACATTTCTCCCGAGTTCGATACTCTACATTTAAGACCATAAAGTCTAAAAAAAATGCACGATAGTATGAAGAGAGAGAGAATGAAAACTTACTCCAATGTAGGGATCTTTGACAAGCACAGCATAGAAAGTCCAAACCCCAGAGTTCAAAAATATGCACAAAGTGAGAAGAAATGGCATATACTCCACACTTCTAGTTCTCACCACTTTCCTCTGCATCATAATAATTTCGTATGAGCTTCAAACGAGTTAGAGAAGACGGTCGTATCGAAAACCCAGACATATTTAGGGTATTTTTGGGAGTGATTTTGAAATGGTTAAAATCATTTTTGTCAGTCTGAAACATGTCCGAAATTTTTCAAAATCAACTTAATGTTTAATTTAACACCTCGAACACGTGATTTCTAACAATAAAAATTGGTTTTAAATGACTAAGAGTTTGTTTTGAAGGGTTTTACTAACCGCTATTCCAAGAGGCGAACCACAGTTCATAATGTTGAGAGCAGCACAAATGAATCCAATGACCTCGATTCGAGAAGAGCCATGTAACATCAAATACGATATCAAGATTGTTGCTCCCACGAATCCAACGTTGAAAATTGCTACTAGAGTTGCTGTTCTAACCTACAAATACACAAACATAGTTAGCAACAAACAAGAAAGACAATATTAACAAATCATTACAACAACAATATAATATTTTTTTCGCCCGTTTTGTAATCATTTTTTTCCAGTTTTATAAATTAAGCTTATAAATTTGATAAACCCCGTTTTCGAAAACCAACCTAAATTTTGAAAAGCAAACTAAAATTTAAAATATTTTTTTTAATTAGGATGAAAAATCAGACCCTCAAAAACCCTAAAATAAAATAGTTATCAAATAAGATTTTAGAGATCGAAATATACTAATATATCGATAAAAAGTCAACGACGTTGAAAATCAAATTGAAACCATAAAGTGACGTAAAAAACACGTAACGACGGGTCGATGGGAAGAACATACCCTCATGTTTGGAGGTGAAAATAGAAGGAAAATGGTGAGGTAGCAAATTTGAAGGGAAATTCCAAAGATATTGACAGAGACAATGAGAAAGCCATCAGGTTTGATTAGGCCATAGTAAGCCCACAAAGCAGCTGTGAGGAAAGTCGAAATATAAGGAAGACTGTCAAATTCTTCGGTTGATCTTTTCTTCAACACTATCCAAAATGTTTTCCTGCAAAAAAAAAAAAAAAAAAAAAAGACCATTCAATAACTTATCATTTTTCTTTTACGTCCGGTCCCGTCCCATTCAATCTGCTAACTTGAGCTGAGCATAGCTCAACTAGTTACTAACTCGTTTTGAGGTAACGTTCTTTAGAAGCAACTAAATCTAAACGGGAACTTTTTTCTTTTGTTTTTTTAGCCAAATTTAAAATCAATCTTAAAAACCCGCTCGAGAGAGAAAATTGTTTTAGCTTCAAAATCGGTTATTGAATGGGGCGAAATTTTGTCGAGAACTTACACGGGAGAAAGGAAGAACAATACAGAGATGATGTTTCCTGAAAAAGGAAAAAAAAAAACAAGTGAAATTTATAATATATAAAAGGAGAAGAAAAAAAAGAATTAATTATGAAGAAAATTAATTTGTTTTACCTATCACTCCAACAAAGAAAGGAAGAGCTTCCATGTTTAGAGAGGAAGAAAGTGAGAGATTCAAAAGAAAAGAGATCTCTTTATAATGAAACCATTTATATCTTTCCTCATATATAATAACAAAATCCTTCCAAAGCTAAATCAATTTAAGGAAGAGATAATTTATTTCAATTTTTTAATAATAGTTTCATATATATATACAAATTCATGGCACATGCAATCGAGCTTTAAACCAGACCCGTTCTCCCTTTTGTGCCCTCTAATCCAAAAAATGGTCTTTCTAAGAAGAAGAGCATATTTATCTCGACGACATCCTCAAAGTCGCCTATGGCAAGAGTACATCTAAATCCAACCAGCATGAGCCTACCCTAGTCTTACCATAGAAATAAATCTAAATACAAACATTTAAGAGACAGAGTATTTAATTTTTTTTGTCGAAGGGTAACACATAAATAAATATTGAAATCTAATCTTTAAGCAAAGCGTAAGAAATTATATATTTAACAAAATTTAGTATAAATCAGATTAATTAAGAATGTGAGATCTAATTAAAATTATTATAAGTACATGATTTGCATATCCTACTTTATTCAAACTAAGAATGAAATAATTCAAATAAAAAATGATTTATTTTTGTAAATTAAAATTTTCAAACAAAATGGCAACATCTAGATCTTTAAATATATTTTTATATTACATAAAATCTGTTGCCAACTAGACAAAATAATTAATCTCTAACCAAAGGGAATGTTAAGGACGTTTTAAAAAGGCTATGAGATCTTATTTGAGTTATAATATCCCATTAAAATATAAAATAAAATTACCGTTACTTTTAAATTTGTGTATAAATTATGTCTATGTAACTATTCACCCGACATTTTTCAATAGGTTAAATTATAATTTTAGTTTATAAACATTTTCGTTTATGTTTAATAAGTCCTTGAATTTTAAGATATGAGAACACAAGCTCTTCTCAACGGTCTTCACGGAAGTTTTGTTCTTGCTATTAAAACTTTGCTTAAAAGTTATTATCGTTATCATCAAAAGTCCTTAAGATACATGAAGCCTAACCGTTACCTTGCATGCATCTCAACTATACTCATGAAACTACCACGTCACCCTATTACATCTATTGTCAAGGTGACGTGTAGGATATGAAATCCTAATGACGTGGTTACCAAACTTAAAACTTATTCCCTCAAATCTCTCGACCCTAATCAATAAACCAATATTTTGTAATCTCGGTTACTACACATCCTAGTCAAGTTTCAAGTACCTCAACTAATCATATGTAACTCTATATCTTTATATCATAATATTTTAGTATCTTAGATCGATGGCTGTAATGGCCCAAGTCCGCCGCTAACAAATATTGTCCTCTTTGGGTTTTCCCTTTCAAGCTTCCCTTCAAGATTTTTTAAAACGTGTCTGCTAAGGAAAGGTTTTCACACCCTTATAAAGGGTGTTTCGTTCTTCTCTCCAACCAATGTAGAATTGTGGGATCTCATAATTCACCCGCTTCAGGGCCCAGTGTCTTCACTGACACTCATTCCTTTCTCCAATCGATGTGGGACCCCCGCCAAATCCACCCCCCTTTGGGGCCCAACATCCTTACTGGCACACTGCCTCGTGTCTACCCCCCTTCGGGGAACCGTCTTCTCGCTGGCACATCACTCGGTGTATGGCTCTGATACCATCTGTAACGGCCCAAGTCCACTGCTAGCAAATATTGTCCTCTTTTGGCTTTCATTTCGAGCTTCCCCTCAAGATTTTTTAAAACGTGTTTGCTAGAGAAAGGTCTCCACACCCTTATAAAGGGTGTTTTGTTTCCCTCCCCAATCTATATAGGATTGTGGAATCTCACAGTGGCCGAGCTTCAAACCTATTTCCTAATAAACCTTTGTTTCCTTTACCCTAAGGATCGCTAGTCAAAATTCTTATTTTTAAGAAATATATAATAATTGGGAATGAAAAATTTTCAATGTTATACATACCCAAATATGTGGCGAGTCAGCTGTCAGAAGGAAACAATCTTCCAGCAAGATAATGATTCTCTTGATGATCTCTGATAACTTGCAGTTGACTCTGCAATCCAACGTGGGAATAAGTGCAACTTGAAAGCATTCCCTTGCAATTACTGAAACTGCAAACATTTAAGAGACAGAGTAGAAAAATAAAACTCATTCCACCATGTTGGAAATTTAGTTGGATCCAACAATGCATGAGAAAGAACAGAGTGTTAACTGTCAAAAGCATCTAACTAATCTTCCAAGATAATGTATTAAAAACAATCAAGTTGGAGGAGGCTACATTATTGGTGTTTTGATTATTATTATTATTTTTTGATATCTCGTCAGTCTCCCTATACATTTGATTGCTAACAGCTCAAGTCCAATGTCAGTAGATATTGTTTTCGCCTTCCCCTCAAGGTTTTTTAGTCTATCTCCCTAGACATTTGATTGCTAAAATTGTATGTGTAACAGCTCAATCCCACCGTTAGTAGATATTGTTTTCTTTGAGCTTTTCCTTTCAGTCTTCCCCTTAAAACGTGTCCGCTAGGGAGAGGTTTCCACAGATATTGCGGTTTCCACAGATATTGTTTTCTTTGGACTTTTCCTTTCAGCCTTCCCTTTAAAACGTGTCTGCTAGGGAGTGGTTTCCACAGATATTGTTTTCTTCGGGCTTTTCCTTTCAGCCTTCCCCTTAAAAGGTGTCTACTAGGGAGAGGTTTTCACACCCTTATATATAAAGAATGCTTCGTTCCCCTCTCCAACTAATGTGGGGCCTCACAATCCACCCCCTCCTTTTGGGGCCAGCGTCCTTGATGGCACTCGTTTCCCTATCCAACTAGGTGGGATCCCATGGTACGATATTAAATTCTAGGTAGGTGGCCACTCTTACTTGAACTTATTCTCGCGAAGCCTTGTATTATTTACATAGCTCTTATAAGACCATTAGACCAATCCAAGATGGTTATTGATAGTTATGTTTTTAAGGCTAAATAAAAATAATAAAATAAAATAACGCCCAAACCATGTCATTTGCTTCAAAAATATCTCTATGCTTTTAAAAGTTGCAATATTATTATTGTCCGGTCATAAAAGTTCAAAACTACTTTCGGAGAATAAACCCATTAGAATATTTGACAAAAAATCGATCTGATAGACTTAGAACGACGCAACAATGGATTCAATATGAAAAAACGGCATTTAAATACGTCGAGATTTCGTCCATCATTCGAGCGGTTTTTCTACTTCAATGACATTTTTCAAACATTTATGAAAAGTCAAAGGGTTATTTTTTAAACAAGTGGTCTTTATTTTATAATTTAGCCTTTTTCTTATGGAAGGCATGTGCGACCCATACAGTATTTACAACATTGAGATGGAATTGTTAAGATTTCAACTACTAAGTAAAGCAAATTTTCCTCAATTTTAAGAACTAAATGTACTAAAAGTAATTACCAGTCTATGATCAAGAGAGATAGAGGCACGGACCTTGATTCTCTCTCCACGGACCTTGATTCTCTCTCCCAAATCCCATTCCAGTGAAACACTTCCAACAAAAAGAAAATCAAATTCCATTGGCTTTCTAAGACATTTGCAACTTGAATACTGAAGGATGGAACAACGTTTTGAGTTTGCAAAAAGGAGAAACAACCGGCTTACATGCTATGAATGGAGAGTAGAATTGAGAGGGAATCTAGAGTTCACCTACAACTTTGATGCCAGCTCCTTTGTCTCATTCCTTTGGGGCAGCGACATCAGCCATAATCGTCTCCTGACCGCGCCAAAGAATCTGGTGCCAACTTGCCAAATTAGAATTATATACTACAATTATAAGCAACAAAGCATGTGCATCGTGTTATACCCTGAAGAAATCTGTGCGTTAGGTTACCTTGTCTATAACTCCAAATTCTCTCTCTCTTGACGTACATCCACGTACAATGGTCTTCTCATCACAGTTACTAACAAAATATTGAAGTTGTATTATGAATTATATGGTACGTCCGGACATGTGAGTTCAAAAAAAGAGTAGAAATAAATGTTGCCTATGTTGAGGATGGCTAGGAGGGAATTCCACATTGGCTAATTAAGAGGATGATCATGGGTCTATAAGGAATAAATCTCCATTGGTATGAGGTCTTTTGGGGAAACCAAAAGCAAAGTCATGAGAACTTATGCTCAAAGTGGACAATATCATACTATTGTGGAGGTGTGTGGTTTCTGATAACCTAGGCTTACATTTCCAACGTGCTTCGCTTTGTTAGACAGGAAAAAAGAGCTGAAATATACAAAGATCCACTTGTATTCTTTAAAAAAGATGCTGAGTGGATGAAAAACTTTCCCCCCCAATAATAATCATTGAAAATTTTAGGAAATGATTGAGATTTTGAATAGAATTCCCTTTTTCACCTCTTGAATCGAAGGGCTAAGTGATCCAGCAAAAATCAGAGTCAAATAAACTGAGTTCTACTTTAAAATAAATTACAAGGCTATAGGAGGATCTTGACCTCTTTTGCACGAATAAGAACGTCACGAGCAGCATCAAACCCAGCCCAATTTCACAGATTGTGGATCAAGAAGCTGCTCTTAGCAATTACAATTAAACATACTTTTGGAAGAAAAAATCTAAAAATTACAATCTCATTTTAATTGTTTTTCTTAATTATTAATGATGAACAAATTAAAAAATGAGTCCTGTAAGATCTCAAACAAAGGAACTCCTGATCATGACAAACAAGTTGATGTTCATGTCAACGCGTAGATAAACGAGCCAGATTTATAGTCTGAATACAAAACCTAAAAAATGTAGGCAGATGATATTGTAAAGCATGAGGAAAGAAATGCATGCCCTTTACAACTTAATTTCACTTGTTTCAGGTAGCTGAATAAATTAAAAGCTTACAGTTTCGTCATCATCTCGAGTTGTTCCTGTGGAGTTTATATAAAGATATATTGGTTCTTTTGGATCCATCCATTGCAGGTACATCAGTTCAGCAATAACTAGCTCTCTGACAGCCGGAACAAACTGAAAGCAGAAATAATTGAATGAGGAGATTTTAGGTAAGTAACCATATGACATGCTTGCGTGAAGCAGAAAACTTCTTCTATAAGATGGAAGTCAAAAACTATCTCAGAACGAATGCACAATCGTTTCTTAAACATTCAAAATCGATTATGCCTCGAAATTAATTTTTAAAAAAACCGTAATACACTTATATAGTGAATGTCCATTTCAATAAAGCTTATGCAAGTCGAGAGGAAATAAATGAAAGTCAGTTCAAATAAATTGAGAACTTGCCAAGAATTTCAAGAATTAGTGCCGAACTTCACATTCAGCATTTGAATGTACTCACAAAATCTATTCTAATGTGATCAAGATATCAAAGTACTCCAATTGATACTTTCAGTTCAACAAACAAGGTTCCTAAAACAGCATGACTCACTCATTCCTGAACTAGAATTTTCATCACTCTGTACGTCTCAAGAGGTCGAAAATATGTGATTATCATGAGATGCACCTTTCTATTTTTTACAAGTTCGAAGAACATGCTTCTTCTTTTTATTTTTTCTTCTTATGAAACATCTCGACAACACGTTGTTGAAAAAACAGTCGTAAATTCTCCATTTCTATTCGTTGAATAGTTCATCGAGTAACGAGTTAAATCGTATAGCACTGGACAAACACTAATTCAAGCACTTACAGGCATTCCGATGTAAATGATCCTTCCATGAAGTAATAGAGACGGCAACTCCGGCGGCGGCCTCCTCGACGTATGCTCACTGTAGGAAACTGATCTTTCGACCTTATCCAACAAGAAAATCACCAAATTCGCAACATGAGCTAACGAACAAAACTTAATTCAAACTATTATTACCTACATAAAGAAAATTCCGTTCGTTTATAGAAATTCATTATAGAAAAACAGCAAGAACAAAAAAGTAATAGGAAATTACGCGAAGAACATCCAACTTACTTCAGCTGGTGCAGCCATGTGTTGAGGAGAATCTTGGGCTTTATAAGGGCCGAATCTTGGGCCGGATGAAATGGGAGAGGCCCAATTACTTGGACCAAAATCTATTTCATGGCCCAATTTTTTGTGATTAAATTATCAACAAAAATAATAATAATAATAATAATAATAATAATAATAATAATAATAATAATAATCTCATCAATTTCCCTTAAATAATAATAATAATAATAACATTTACTTCAAGCACTTTGTGATGGGAGCTCCAAATACTTCCCTGTAGTATCGCTTTTCGCAGCATAGAGCTCACTATGAATGAAATTCCGAGTTTTCACCATTGTATTCGTGCGCATCATAAGCATAGATATTTCATAATTGTTTGTTAAGATTATTAAGGCATATTTCAGTTTTCCCATCAATCATCACGTCCCGATACTTTTTATAGAACAAAACGTTAGACCCAGTTAGGTCTTGGAGCCTTTGTTGGGTCCATTCCTTTTAGTACTACTTTCACGTCAACTTGTGAGTTCTCGATTGTGCTCATCTAAGACTGCACTTGGAATGTAACTCAAAATGTCAAAAAACATCGATTTAGATGCCCAAATCAAAGATAAATAGTCATTGGCAATGGAATGAAGATCACTCCCGTTTATGTGCCGCTAAATTAAACACTTTTAGTATGATTTTTAAAATATATATATGAATTTGATTAATGATATTTTTCACGGTCACGCTTGTTTAGATCGTATTGTTTGTGGCATCATGTCATTCTCTATACGCTTTTACGTTGGTTCTATTGTGTATCTTTTACTTTAGCTCATTGTTTATTTTCTTTATAATTTTGTGAACGTACAACTCTTGCCACTTTTGATGTCCACAACTGTCCAAGGTTGAACCCTAAGATTTAACGGCAAATAGAATGATATCGAGTTAATTTGGCACTATAATCTTCCAAAACTCTTCTTGTTCAACATGATTGTAGCAATACAAATAAGTAGGGAGTAGCCCAAGACATCATTTTGCACGCCCCGACAAATTGAATTAGAAGCCTAATTGTCGAGTGGCGACCTCGCCCCAAGTGGCAATGCGATGTGTTTAAAAACTCTGGGTCGTAAATAGATTCAAGCACAATTTTGATCGTTTCTTTCATGATCTTTTACTCAAACATACTAATAATGAGTTTGGTGAGGCGATGCTTGAAGACAATCCTCTATGAAGAATTTGTTTTAGAAGCACTCCGAAAAGCACTTTCGATACGTCAAACTCACTCAAACTATTTGAAAAAAACGACCCGATATGAACGGACCAAAATGAGGGCATTCGATGGCCTTTGCCATGGAGGGAAAGACAGACAACAAAGAGAGGAGTGATGCTTAAAAGGTGATTCGTACAACTTCTGGTTGTAAAGGAACCACAATGTGCAATAGTTAGTGACTGCTAGGGTGTCATGGCCCAACCATTAATTAACTTGGTATGAACCAAACAAACATTACAGGGAAGAACACAAGCCAGAAATAGATCACCCCGAGCATATCATGCAGATGTTACTCTTTTGGTGTAAGAGCCTAAACCCACCGCTAGCTGATATTGTTTTCTTTGGGCTTTTCCTTCTGAGTTTCCATTAAATGTGTATGTTAGGAAGAGGCTTCTACACCCTTATAAAGGAATGTTTTGTTTCCCTCTCAAACCGATGTGAGATCTCAACTTTGAGTTGTTTGGATCGTCTACACGGTCTCAACTTCATATAACGAGATCGACATCACACAAGGATGAGCAGTCAGATATTGACCCATTCAAATCAAAATCCAGGTTCAAATCCTACAAGATCCCATATGAAACTCCTCAAGGTCATGAACCAAACAAACACTACATGGAAGAACACAAGCCAGAAATAGATTCACCCCCGAGAATATCATGTAGACATCGCTCTCATTGAGCTGTTGGATCGTCTACACAATCTCGAATTCATATAACGAGATCGACATCACACAAGGATGAACAAACCCGGTAGGACAAGTTAGATCTGTGACCCATTCGAATCAAATCAAAATCAAAAGATTGTGCTGCAGATTCAAATCCTACAAGATCCCATATGAAACTCCTCAACCATCTTTCCTACCTATCAGCTAAATCAACCAAAAGAAATTGTGTAAGATCTAGAAAGGGCTATAAGGGACTCGGGTTTATTCCACTTTCCCTTGTTTTCGAGATCGACAAACGCATCTCGAAACATCTACATGAGTTTATATCAGATCTAAACTGAACTTGGGAAGGAGATATGTTTTGTCACATTCAAATTATCAAACAACATGATGGGTAGAGTTTGATCAGTGATGTTGGAAATGGGTCCTGTCAAATATGGAGAGGCTATCCAGATTTGGTGTTCATATCTTCAAAATCACTCCCTAAACCATGTTCATGGAGAAGAGAAATAGAAAATTGACATGTCAAAATCATACCAAGCTCTAATTGGATGTCAAATCAAAAACAACAAATAGGACATCACAACCACTTCTCTAATTTGAATCAAATTCAACTCCCTTGTCCAAGAAGCCTAATCATGCCCTCAATTATTCGGGACTCTCTGTATTCAAGCTGACACTTTTAACCTTAACGCTCCATGTTCCACGTCTAAACAACTCAAACAAGCATATCTCTTATCTCTACTCAAATGTATTAAGATTCACGAACTTCCACAACAGTATGATAATGTCCACTTTGAGCATAAACTCTCATTGCTTTTCCCCAAAAGTCCTCATACCAATGAAGATATATTCCTTATAAACTCATGATCAACCCCTTTAATTAATCGATGTGGGACTTCTCTCCCAACAACAAAATGGGTATATATATATATATATATATGATGTCCCATCCACATCATGTATATCTCAATGAACCTCAGATAACAATGGGAAATCCTAGATCGATAGCCACCAACATCATAGATTGAAACCATACTCAAGATAGCCACCAACATCATAGATTGAAACCATACTCAAGAACATATGGTTCGCCCTTTCGATCATTAGGTCAATCCATGGAAGTCATTTTACTTCTACAATGCACAATTATCCTCAATATCATACTAAAACTAAGTAAAACCATAATCAATGCACAGACATATACATATGGTTACAAATTTCTGATATTTACTTCTCTTGTCAATATAATGAAAGTTCTAAGAAAAGTACCCGACCTCAACATGATAGCCAATTCAAGAGCACCAAGAATCAAATCAGTAGTATGGTATGATTTCTCAAGGAAAACTTTCCTCTCTAAATATTTTTCCTAAAGAGTTCAAGATTCTTTACCATAAACAGATGAGAACAGAGAGAAAAACACAAGTAAATGAAAGGAAATGGTTTGGTCAGCCGATCAAAACCCAAAATGGAAAGAAATTGGCATTGTAAAGTTAATCTAAACCCAAAAACAGCATCAGAAACACAATCTTTCACAGTTTCTATAAGAGAAATATACTAATTATAACAACTGACGAATTTGTTCTTACTCTTATCTCATGATGGGAGCCATAATTCTCCTTAATTCCAGCCATTACAGCCTTTCTTGTTCTTCAATCTCTTTGCAGACTCTCTTTTCCCTTCAATCGACAAAAGGAAAGAAAGAGGAAAGAAATCCCAGCCAGGAATAGAATATCACATTATTGAGAAGATATATATATATAATTAATTGAGCACAACAATTTTCATCACTTACAATAACGACAACGACGACATTATATAATCAATCTCCCCTTTTCAATTTGTATAACAACCAAAGCAATCTCAAAAAAGAGAAAAAAGAAGGAAAAAAATAAAGATCAATGAACATTGAAAGGAGAGAAAGAGATTATTAAACAGAGAGTACAAACAAATTACTCAACTCCTGCACCTTGTAATGGCGCTGCATCCACGGCTGTAAGGGTTGGCCTGAGCTCCGGGCTGGCAGTTGTAGTATGATGCACCGCGTCTCGAGCACGGCACGGTGTTCCTCCGCAGAGCGCCGTAGCTGATGTACTGACTGGTGGCCAAGATACGGCGGCTGATTTCCGAATCGAATTCGAACTCCTCTCCGCCGAAACACTCCGCTATTGTGCCCTTGCAGGTCGATTGGTTAGGAATCCATCCGAGGCTGTGGTGGATCCCGAGACCACCGTGGACGGCGGTTGAGGAGCAGCTGAAGACCACAAACACAGCGGCGCAGATCAGGAAGAATGTCGAGGAATTGAATCCGGCCATTGCCATGCAAGAACAAGATCTCTCTCTCTCTCTCTCTCTCTCTCTCTTTCTCTATCTGAAGTCTCCTCGGAATTGACGGTTTCTTCAGCTCCGGCAGTCGCTCCGGCGATTCGTCGGTGGTTTCTTCTTCTTCTTCTTTAGCACAGAAAAAGCGAGCAGTAATGAAGCCAGTTGAAAGACTTATTTAGAACGTGGTCTGAAAATCTACCCTTATATTTCCACTTAATAACGAATATGCCATTCTTTAGTCTTTGTTATGACGTCATGGGATAACGACTCCACCCAAGTGCAAAACGCTGTCGTTTTAGGTTGAATGTTCATGTAGCTTGTTTATACTAGCATCTAGGGTCGAACCCCGATCATTTCATAAATGATACGAAATTGAGCTCGAACGATGAAATAGAGGACAAAAAAGTCCATTTAACTTGTGGGAACCGTCTCAAATTGAGTCGAGTCGTGACTCTTCGTTTAAACGGGTCCCGCTATATCCCTACCTGACTCCGTTCAAATCTTCTCCAGATCCCCATGATTTCTTGAAACCGTCCGAATTTCTAAAAAAATAAATAGAAAATGTTAGTTTGATTTATTTCGGGTTTTCATAAATAAAAATTATGTTAATTATGTCGTTATTTGTAAGCCACCTAACAATGTCAACTTAGCAATTAAAACAAAACTATGGGGGCATTTTAGACTTTTCAAGTTCCACCGAATACACAGCATGTAGTTGACCGGCTGTCTTCCTTTCATTGTTGGTGAGAAGGAAATGGTTTTTTTTTAATAAATAAATAAATAAATAAATAAATACAACTTATTAATAATTAATTGTTTTTAAAAAAGAAAATAAGAGGAAATTATTTTTAATGTCCGTCAAAGAATCTGTTAACCGAAACGCGTTTATTCCATGCTTTTTCTTTTTGCCGTTCTCTTTTTCACCTAACTCCCCACCACCAATTGCTCCGTTGTCTCCGTTACCGTCAACTTTCAACTATTTATTATATTTAATAAAGTGGTTTGTTTATTTTTTACAGCGTAATAAATAATTAAGGATTGAATGAAATATAAATTACAAATTTGCGCAATTTTTTTTTTATTTTTTTATTAAAATTGGAAAAATCAATTAAATCGAACCAACCGTTTTGCTAAATTGTTTATTTATTTATTTATTTATTTTTCATCCTAACCAATTATATATTATATTTATAAGTTTTTCAAAAAAAAAAATTATTAAAACTTTTAACAAATGACTCGAAAACTCGATCAACCTTGTTAAGGATAGTTGACCGTTCATTAAGGCAAATATCTAGATATTTGCCTTACATTACGGGTTACCATATTTTCTCTTTTACTAAATGCAAATATATTGTATTCATTTATTATTCTTTCCTTTTATCGCTATTTCCTTATTATTTGTAATTTACCTTATTTCTGTATTCTGTAAATGATTATAAATAAGAGAACTCTCACCACCATTTGGGTGTGGTGGATTAATCAAACATTCACATGGTATCAGAGCCCTTTCGGTTTAACAACCCTGATCCTTTCTTCTCTATGGCTTCCGAATCTTGTTATCATCTTCTTCCTTTCAATACTCTAATCCATATGATCACCATCAAACTTTCTTCCTCCAATTATCTTCTTTGGAAAAGCCAACTTCTCCCTCTTCTTGAGAGTCAAGACATGCTGGGCTATGTCGATGGAACTATGGTTCCACCACCTCGCTTTGAACCAGAAACCTCCTCAACATTCAACCCCAAATATTTGGCATGGAGAGCAGCCGATCAACGACTTCTCTGTCTCCTGCTCTCCTCTCTCACTGAGGAAGCCATGGCTGTTGTCGTTGGTCTCTCTACTGCACGTGATGTTTGGCTTGCGTTGGAAACTACGTACAGCTATCAGTCAAAAGCTCGTGAACTGAGACTCAAGGATGACTTGCAGTTGATGAAACGTGGCACAAAACCTGTTGCTGAGTATGCTCGTGCCTTCAAAAAAATTTGTGACCAACTTCATGCCATTGGCAGACCCGTCGAGGACATTGATAAAGTGCATTGGTTCCTTCGTGGACTCGGCACCGAATTTTCAGCTTTTTCTACTGCTCAGATGGCTCTCACCCCTATCCCCTGTTTTGCAGATCTAGTCTCTAAAACTGAAAGTTTTGAGTTGTTCCAGCGCTCCCTTGAGTCCTCTGACTCCACTCCTACAGCATTCATAGCCACTAATCGTGGCCGCACCCATGAAAGTCACCCTGCTTCCTTTACCAATCAGCGAGGTCGTTCTTATTCTCACAAAAACAACTCTTCTAATCGAGGACGAACCCACTCAAGTCAGGGTCGTCGACCACCTCATTGCCAAATATGCCGCAAAAAGGGCCATTATGCTGACCGCTGCAACCAACGGTATGTTCGACCTGATTCTTCTCATGCTCACCTTGCTGAAGCCTTTAACACGTCATGTTCTATTGCTGGACCCGATGCTGCTGATTGGTTTTTGGACACTGGAGCTTCGGCCCATATGACTGCCGACCCATCAATTCTGGATCAGTCTAAAAATTACACGGGTAAGGACTCTGTGATTGTAGGAAACGGTGCATCCCTACCCATTACCCACATCGGTACTCTTTCTCCTGTTCCAAATATTCACTTATTAGATGTCTTGGTTGTCCCTCACCTCACTAAAAATCTTCTTTCCATAAGTAAATTAACGTCTGATTTTCCTCTCTCCGTTACATTTACTAATAATCTTATTACTATCCAAAATCATCAAACAGGAAGGGTGGTGGCAACCGGTAAAAGAGATGGAGGGCTATATGTGCTGGAGCGCGGCAACTCTGCTTTTATTTCAGCCCTTAAAAACAAATCTTTACGTGCTTCATATGATTTATGGCATGCTCGTCTGGGTCATGTGAATCATTCTGTTATTTCTTTTTTAAATAAAAAAGGTCATCTTTCTCTTACGTCTTTATTGCCTTCTCCATCATTATGTAATAGTTGTCAGCTTGCGAAAAGCCATCGATTGCCTTATTCCCGCAATGAACGTAGGTCGTCTCATGTGTTAGATCTTATTCATTGTGATCTTTGGGGTCCTTCTCCCGTCAAATCAAATTCGGGTTTTCTTTATTATGCTATTTTTATTGATGATTATTCTCGATTCACTTGGTTTTACCCTTTAAAATTTAAATCTGATTTTTTTGATATTTTTCTTCAATTTCAAAAATTTGTGGAAAATCAATATTCTTCTCGTATCAAGGTATTTCAAAGCGATGGTGGTACCGAATTTACTAGTACTTGTTTCAAAACTCATTTACGTAATTCTGGCATCCACCATCAACTCTCTTGTCCATATACACCTGCTCAAAATGGTCGTGTTGAGAGAAAACATCGTCATGTGACTGAGACTGGCTTGGCCCTTCTCTTTCACTCTCATCTTTCTCCTCGTTTTTGGGTTGACGCCTTCAGCACTGCAGCTTATATTATCAACCGGTTGCCTACTCCACTTCTTGGAGGTAAGTCACCCTTTGAACTCCTTTATGGCTACACTCCACATTATGACAATTTTCATCCCTTTGGTTGTCGTGTTTATCCTTATTTGCGTGATTATATGCCTAACAAGCTTTCTCCCCGCAGCATTCCTTGTATTTTTTTGGGTTATAGTCCTGTTCATAAAGGGTTCCGCTGTCTTGATCCCGCCACCACTAAGCTATATATCACCTGCCATGCTCAATTTGATGAAACTCACTTTCCTGCTATCCCTAGCTCCCAAGCCCAACCTCTTTCCACTATTCCTATTTCAAATTTCTTGGAACCACATCTTCATCATATTGATCCATCCCCCCCTACCACTTCATCACCGCACATTCCTCAATCCAGTTCATCCCCGTGTGATATTTGTTCTGACCTTGTAGATGAGTCTGTGCAGGTTGATACTTCTCTTGCAGGTTCCACTTTGTCACCCTCGACTTCTAATTCAACCTCTATTGAACCTCCTGTTGATTTCTCTTCTTTGGGCACTCATCCTATGATCACACGCGCCAAAGCTGGTATATTCAAGACTCGTCATCCAGCAAATCTTGGTATGTTGGGCTCATCTGGACTTCTCTCTGCTCTTCTTGCATCCACTGAGCCAAAAGGATTCAAATCTGCGGCTAAGAATCCTGCTTGGGTGGCTGCCATGGATGAAGAAATTCGAGCGTTACAACAAAATGATACTTGGACTTTGGTTCCTCGCCCTGCCAACACCAACATCGTGGGCTCTAAATGGGTGTTTCGTATTAAATATTTGCCCGATGGATCCGTCGAGCGTTTCAAGGCTCGTCTCGTTGCCAAAGGTTATACTCAGGTTCCTGGTCTTGACTACACTGACACTTTCAGTCCAGTTGTCAAAGCTACCACTGTCCGTGTTGTGCTTTCTATTGCAGTCACAAATAAATGGCCTCTTCGACAACTTGATGTCAAGAATGCTTTTCTCAATGGAACGCTTATTGAACGTGTTCATATGGAACAACCTCCTGGGTATGTTGATCCTCGATTTCCAAAGCATGTTTGTCTATTAAAGAAAGCTCTCTATGGCTTAAAGCAAGCTCCTCGTGCTTGGTTTCAGCGTTTTAGCTCATTTCTTCTCACACTTGGGTTTTCTTGTAGTCGCGCTGACACGTCCCTTTTTGTCTTTCATCAGCAATCTAACCTTATCTATTTGCTTCTTTATGTTGATGACATTATTGTTACCGGCAACAACTCATCTCTTATTAACAGCTTTACTCGCAAGCTTCATTCTGAGTTTGCTACCAAAGATTTGGGTTCTCTCAGTTACTTTCTTGGTCTTGAAGCTTCACCCACTCCTGATGGTCTCTTTATCAGTCAGTTAAAATATGCTCGAGATATTCTTACTCGTGCTCAGTTGCTCGATAGCAAACCAGTTCACACTCCCATGGTTGTTTCTCAACACCTGACTGCTGATGGTTCTCCTTTCTCTGATCCTACTCTCTACAGATCTCTTGTTGGCGCCCTTCAGTACTTGACTATCACGCGTCCAGATATTGCCTATGCTGTCAATTCTGTCAGTCAATTCTTGCATGCCCCTACTGCAGATCACTTTCTTGCTGTCAAACGTATTCTTCGCTATGTCAAAGGAACACTCCACTTTGGTCTTATCTTTCGTCCATCCACTGTTCCTAGTACGCTAGTCGCTTATTCGGATGCTGACTGGGCTGGTTGTCCCGATACTCGTCGTTCTACATCCGGCTATTCTATTTATCTTGGTAACAATCTCATTTCTTGGAGTGCCAAAAAGCAACCTACTGTATCACGCTCCAGCTGTGAATCTGAGTATCGTGCTCTTGCCACAACTGCTGCTGAACTTCTTTGGGTTACGCATCTTTTGCATGACCTCAAGGTCCCTATTTCACAGCAGCCCTTACTCTTATGTGACAACAAAAGTGCTATTTTTTTGAGCTCTAATCCTGTTTCTCACAAGCGGGCCAAGCATGTTGAACTAGATTATCATTTCCTTCGAGAACTTGTTATCGCTGGCAAACTTCGTACACAATATGTACCCTCTCATCTCCAAGTTGCTGACATCTTCACAAAGAGTATTTCTCGACCTCTCTTTGAATTTTTCAGATCCAAGCTTCATGTTCGTTCAAATCCGACGCTCAGCTTGCGGGGGGGTGTTAAGGATAGTTGACCGTTCATTAAGGCAAATATCTAGATATTTGCCTTACATTACGGGTTACCATATTTTCTCTTTTACTAAATGCAAATATATTGTATTCATTTATTATTCTTTCCTTTTATCGCTATTTCCTTATTATTTGTAATTTACCTTATTTCTGTATTCTGTAAATGATTATAAATAAGAGAACTCTCACCACCATTTGGGTGTGGTGGATTAATCAAACATTCACAAACCTAAATTATCAAACTCAAACAATAAAAATATGATTGAATTATATTTTTTTCGATTTGGGTTAGGTTGAATGTTTCGGAAATCGAAAATCGAAAATTTTGGGTTGGTTCGAGTGTTGGCATATTTTATCGAGTCAACCTGACCAACTCAAAAATATGGTTACAATCGAACCCTACCCTACCATACTTTTTTAATTATTATAAATATTAAAAATATTTGACTTTAGTGATATGTGACGTGTGAATATTTGATTTTTGAGTTTTATAAAATTTTAGCTATTAAAAAAACAACCCGACAATCCAACTCAAGGTTGGGTTGGGCGTAAACTCTATCTAGGTTGTTCCAGTCACCCACCCACCCAACGAACCTAAAATTTTGGATTGGTTGATGTCGGGTAAAAATTTTAAAATTGATTGCACATGTATAATCTGACTTGTTAAGATACGTGTCATCAACTAAAAAAATTAATAATTTAAATATTCTAACCACACAAACAAACAAAAAAAAAATTAATTTTAAAAAAACTACTTATTTTATAATATATTTAATAAATATGTAAATCCTAATATATTTTGTATAGGAAAATTAAATAATGACAGGAAAAAAAATTTAAAAGCATTGGAAAAGACAAAAATACCATTACTAAGCATCATACAAAACGTTTGCATTGACCTAAAAATACACAGATAAATAAAGGACCCAAATGGAAATAAAGCTGAAGGAGCAAGGGCAAAAATGGCATAAATAAATTTCAATTTTAATAAATAATAATAATGGGTGAAATCCCATTTAAACAAATTTGTGAATGAATTCAAAGGTTTGGTAACTAAAAAGTTGGTAGGAAATAGGAAGGACGAATAATTGGAAGCTTTATTAAAAGGGCTAAGAATATATATATATATATATATATATATATATATTTTTTTTTTTTTTTTTTTTTTTTTTTTTTTTTTTTTTTTAAGTTTTTTTTTTTCTTCCTNTTATTTTCTCCTTAAATTCAAAAGTTTGTCTTTAATTTGAATAAAATGAAAATTAAAATGGACAAGCCAAGAATATATTAATCTTTTTCTATATATATATTTATAACTTTTTCTATAGAATTCATTTTATTTCATAAAAAGTAATATTTTATATGCTCAAAATAAGTTATGATTAGATTTACGAGCATCTCTCATTTTATTTTTAGTATATAGCTTAAAAAATTAAATTTGTGAATTCATCGATCAACCTAAAAATTTAAATTGATGGATAAATGTAAATTTAAGGTTAAAATATCATTTAAGTCCCCGTACTTTGAGTTCCAGTACTTTCAAATATTAAAATTTAATTATTACAATTTCAATAGAACTTAAAATTTGTTTTTATTATTTTTTTTTTTCTTTTAATAATCTCTATTATCAGTTGTCCTAATTTTAAATATATAAACTAAAATAGAATTTAAACTGAATCTAAACTCTTTATTTCTCAATTTTTTTATGATTTGATTCAAATTATTTATTTTTTATTAAACCTAAATCAATTATAGTAATAATATTGCAATTAAATATAGAATAATTCAAATTATTTTTACCTAATCAAATTATTTATTCTTCATTTATTACACACCTCCATTTTCCAGTTGTTTATTTAATTATTTTAATTTATTAATTTTTTTTATATAGATTTTTTAATTATTAAAGACATAATATTAATATTTAAATTTAAACTATGTTAATAAAACATTATATATTTTCGCGTATAAAATATCATAATTTATTATTATCTTTTTTACATTTTTTTTAATAAAAGTTATATTGAAAAATAACTATTTTTTTAAAAGACCAAAAACAGAAGAAAACAAAATCTTACAAATAAACATATTTAATAGACATAAAATTTAAATTAAAAAGACATGTTATTCATAAAATTAAAATTTTTTAAAATATATTAATATCCTGTCTAATTCAAAAGACCAAAAAAAAAAAAAAAAACACAACTAAATTTATTATAAAAAAAAAGTGAGGGAAATCAATTAAGCAATCAAGTAAACAGAACTAAAAGAGGAAGGATGGCTCACTAGGCTTTTTCTTGTTTCTCCGGTAAAAAGCTTTTGCTCTTCCAGCTTTTCCGGAATGCCCATCATATCTATAAGATGACATTAAAAAATGTTAGTGCACCGAAAGCAGAACAAGCGAAACAAATGTACTCACAACACCAATGAACGGAATTACACAAAGAGACACCAAGATATTTACGTGGTTCGGATAGAAGAAGTTCCCCTACATCCACAGGTAGAAACCAATCACTAATCAAACAATGTGTTTCAAGTGAATACCTCATTATCACACTACAAAGACTCACCAATATGTCACTCAAAATATAATGTGACCCACAAAACATTCCCAAATCCCGATATCAAATTCCGATAGGACTAAATCTAATTCAAATAACCAAATCAAATCTAATCTAAATAACCAAATCAAATCAAAACTTATGACAATTTACAACAAAAAAAAAATACCTGAAATCATCATATCAATGCAAAAGATCCCAAAACCAACAGCAGATTCTGTTTACAACTTTAATGGAACTGGTTAAATATCAACAGTTTATGACCGAACTGACCCAATGATTAAGGCAAGGATACACAAACCACCAGCTAAATGAGAGGGAGTTGGCACCCAGGTTGATGTTACGCTACACTTCCATAGGACTGAGCCATCAGTGTTGGTGTCTTCTGAAGTCGGGCCCTGCACTTAACGCCATACAAATTATGTTGTCGAAACTGGGAAGAGAGTGAATCAACTAGGTATGTGATTACCCTGTCAATATGCAGGCAGGCAGGCAGGCATGCATGAGTAGAGTGTAGAAAGCAGACAACTGGTTGTGTGATATTGTCAAACAGTACAAAATGTGATTCAATAATGCTGGAGAAACGGAAAATGCCAAGTATAAATTATTGCATGGTTTTTGTCTTCTCAGTCTCCTTGAAATGCATATAAAAAGAATATGTTTAACTGGTCAATAAGGGTTATGTAAATAATAAAAGATTTAAAACGAACGTACTCATGGTAGCCACTGTTGAGGATTATTGGGAGAGAGTCCCTGTTCGAGGGCTACATAGACCTCAGGGGAAGCTTTATGGTGTATTTGTGCGAGGGGAGGATTGTTGAGGATTGTTAGAAGAGAGTCCCACATTCGCTAATTTAGGGAATGATCATGGATTTATAAGGAATACATCTCCATTGTTATGAGGCCTTTTGAGGAAGCCCGAAGCAAAACCATGAGAGCTTATGCTCAAAGTGAACAATATCATACCATTGTGGAGAGTTGTGATTCCTAACCGCCACTTAGAATTTAATATCTAGACATTCACACAAATAGTTCCTAAATCAAGGTTTTTTTTCAATAGAAGTCATGTCATATAATAAATGGTGACCACCTACATCTAGTATCGTATGAGTTACCTTCACTACCAAATATAGTAGTGTCACGTGTTACGACGTGATTAGTAAAGGTGCGTGAAACTAGTCAGTCACTCACGGATATAAAAATAAATTAATTAATTAATTAACCTACTATTAGAAGGACATGACACTGAACCACCTAGACTGGAGTTCGTTATAGTTATTTATAGCATCGTCAGTTTTGATAAACTAATGATCTTTTATACCGTCAATATAAAGGGCACGTATAACTCTCATGGGAACTCAGTTGATATACCCTAGCAAAACTGAGCTATGATACAGCATGATATTTAAATTCAATACATGAACTTACAACATGATACAATAACCCATATACGATCGATCTTCACAATGGAAATTTTGAAAGTCACTTCTTCTATAAAAAGAAACCTTCGTTGAAGTTTAAAATCATAGGAAGTATAAATAAGAAAATTCATGTCCCTAACGGAGATTATAGAAAGAGCTCTCCGATTCTAGATAAAGAGAGAGGGGGAGAGAAAACATTAAAATAAGCCTTAGAGAAAATCACATGTTATGAGGGTTCGTGATCTACCTTGATTAAGTGATAAATAAGCTCAATCGCAATAGTCTATTATGTCGTTGATAGAAAAGGTACATGTCACACCTCAAACAGTAGCATAGTTCAGATAATTTCAAAACAAACAGGGCCATATTGCTAGACTTGCAACCAATAAGAAGAGACAAAAAATATGTGATTGAAAGAAATTATTACGAGATAGGGCTCAACATTCTAATTAGGTTCATGAGCCCACAAAAAAGTAGATGCAATACCTTTCTAGTGTTCTTCATAGTATGGTGGAGTTGACTGAACACACAACTCGTTATCATCCCCATCATCGTTGTCATCATCCTCATCTTCTTCATCTACCCAGTTACTGGGATGATGTTGAGAAACGGCAGGACCGTTTATATCAGACCTCTCTGAAAGTATCGTGTAGCCCAACAAGAAAAAGTTACAAGCAGCAGGAGTAATAAGATTAATGGGTTAAGTGAATGACTAATGAGGTATCTACTGACCTTGATGTTCTCTTCCCAGATCCCCTCCCACAGAATGGTCTCTACATTAAACAGTCAAGTTACTTAAGAACCACAAGTAAATATATCTAGAAAAAAAATATAATATTTGATGAACTAAAAGTTAGAAATGTTCTCTAAGGTGAGTACAGTAACAATGTATAAGTTACAACATAGTACAGTTGCTGTACGTTGAAGAGGAAACTGCCTCAACCTTCTACTCACCTAATACGCACACGGTGGTAACTCTACAGTCTTCCTTATTTTCAATTTGCTGTGTCTTATCAATTGTGAAACAGGTCCCATACTTCATTAATGTACTCCATACTTTACTCAATTATTGCCCATTTCTTTGGGTGTTTTATATTAGTTGTAAGATCTCTGTTAAAAAAAATGCAATATACAAGTTCATGCTATTCTCAGTGTTCACTTCTTCCAAACAACAACGACAAGCAAGTGTTTTATGAGGCATGAAGTACTATATTTTACGACAATAGCTAGTGAAAGGACAGTTTTCAGGCAAGAATGTCAGTATCCCGTTTCCAAAACCTAGTCCAGTCCAAAAAATGAAAGAAATTAAGTCAGATAGAACTGAAGGCTCTAAATTATAGTTAGCTCCACATCATCTTCCAATACTATGAATATTCTTGATGAAAGGTAGATGATCAATCCTATCAGCAAAGATGGGGTCACCATACCCAATTTTATTAAGTAAACTAACATTCACATTGGTGTGAAATTCATTAGAAGTGTAAGCGACATCACACACAAACAACAAAACCAGATTATCACTTCAAAACTAATCGTTATGGAGACAGGTTGCATTGTAAAGGATACCTAGCACGATCAACAAGGTTATATCCCTGAGCGCACCCAGCTTTTGAAATCTGTACATTACTAATCCTTTGAATTTCCATCTGTTCAGAAGAACTCAAATTGCTCTGGCCTTGTACCTGCCCTTCAGCACCATTCCCACTTCTTGGTGCACTTCCTAAAAAAGAGTCAGAAGGATGATTTTAAATACAAAACAGTTTCTTTATCGAAGTTCTATTCAAATGAGAGAACCAAAGATATTGTGACAGGGTTATGAAAGGCCTAGGTTCAGGCATGGATAAAAATAGAGACCTGAGAGTTCAGACCATATTCTGGTATGATCAGATGGATGGCCAGAAACATTAGCTCCGGGCCCATCCTGCTGTGCTTGGGACCCAGTCCTGTGATCAGATTCACCCTGTCCAGTAGTAGCCTCTTGTGGAGGCTGTGATCGGCTTCCCGCATGGAGCTGTGATACTAACATAGTCGCAAGAACAAGTGTAGCATCAAAGTTTGTACCAGACCCATCATCTAGACCAAATTTTGGCGCCAATAGAATTGGCCTGCACATCCAAATACAAAATCCTATCATATTCGATAACAAAGTTTACTTTGTATGAAAATTACTTGCACCATAAGAACAAGTGTTGCATCAAATTTAAATGACCAGGCTAGAAAAATTACTTTTTAGATTTAGAAGAGGATGGACGTAATACTCCATCCTGTGGGAGCTAAGACAAATAACCCATGGACTACAAGAGTCAAAACTGTATATAACTTTCTACCAGGTCTACATGCCATTTAACATTTAACCATGTAGAAATTAATACACCTCACGGTTCCATAAAATGAATCTCATTCGTGCACATCTTGTACATTTTTTTCCTTCTTGTGCTCTCATCTTTGTATTTCATTCAGAATCCTAGTTACCAAGTGCTAACCAGAAAGATGAACAAAATATTTTCAAGCCTAAGTCAAGCGGTTAGAAGATCAGGCCTGGTATTTCAGCACCACTATGACAATTAGAAATCAGAGGACCTCCACAATTAAATGCTAAAAATAATGTAAAAAAGGAAGCAAAATAAATAAAAATAAACAAAAAAAAAAAAAAGAATCAGAGGACAAGAGACGTGCAATTCTTACTCCCCAGCTTTTTCAAAAAACAGATGGATGTCAACTTCACAGCCCTCGCAGAAAGAAAGAAATGCCTGAAATTTGATGATGAAAGTAGCTTAAAGAAAGTTTCTAAACCATGAGTATCAAAAAAGATAAGCTTTAAATTAATTGTGCTACCTAAATATAGCCCAAGATTGTAAAAATAATAATAACAACAATAATATCAACTCACCACAAAGCATATAGAAGAAAATGTTAGTAGTAATACCAGAAGAGCAGCATTCCAAAAAAAGAAAAGAAAAATTGAATTAATCCACAAGTGAGGTCCAACAATACCTTCAATTCTTTTACTCCAAATGTTATGTCTACCGGATCTCCACTGTGAGAATAATGGACAAACTCTTCCATAGGATCTATCCAGAGTTGAGTATGAAGCAGCGCGTCATTGTCTGCAGTTAAAGAATGAAGCATCAACTATATTTTAGTAGATACATTGAAATGTAACGAATTTTCAAGAGTCAACATCTCTAAGGAGTTGATTGGGGGAAAAATTTTAAGGTGAAATATATTAATTAATCTAGGCTTGTACATATCATTATCACCTTTGGTTGGGTCTATATAACTTCGAAGCTCAACAGCCTTTCCTTCAATCTCAATTGCAGCTTCAGAAGGTAAGGAAGTTGGTTCTGTTGCAATAACAGTGATCTCCTGCAAGGATGACTGAAAATTAGAGAGTAATCGATTCAGATCTCGAGGTCTCACAACTAAGTCACTTGGGAACTGTCTCCTGTCAAGAGACAAGTGCTGTATGTCTGGCTCAACGTTGGAAGAAATGCAGTATGTTTTCTTTATTCCTGCAAGCCAGATAAGATTGATGTATTTAGAGGAAAAGTTATCATGGTAAAAAACTATATGGTATTGAAAACACAAAATCATTTCGTAAGAACAATGGTCCTTGTTGCATCACTTTTATGTAGGCCAATTTTAACAAGATTAGGGTAATCTAGACCCTTGATAACTGGATGAATTGCAAACATGGAACGCATGAACAGACATCATCATGGTGCATTTTCACCTTTGCATCACTTTGTTGCGCTTATTGGACATTGTTATAGATATATATATATATATATATACCAAAGGTCTCATTTATTGCCCCTCTATCTTTGAATATAACTACCAGCATAATAGCAGCACACGATGCAGTGATGTTGTATGCTTAGTGTACATGACACTAAAAATATTAGATTTGCTTTAGTTGCACTCTTCAGTTGTAGTTATCGGAGGATTTATAATCAACCGATGTCAACATACTGGAACCATGTAAGTTAGTCGTCATTGTGTGACATTCTTAATTAGTAGGCATCTGTATTTACCAATGAACATAGATCATTTAAACATGATTTTTAGATAAATGTGAGTACTCGTATAAACTCTAAAAAGGCAGCTGACCATTGAAGCATTCCAAACTCCATTGTATTTTCAATGCATAAGTATCTGGTAACCGCACTCTCAGATGGTCTACGCTAGCCATTGATGTTCTAAGAACAGAGCAGACAGCCTGACATGGAATGTCATAATAAGTAAGCATAGGTGTTAAGGTACTGTTAGTGAATGCAATACAGAACAATATCATGCATACCTTCAAAAGAACACTGCATTGCACTTGATTACCAGAAATGGCATAAGTATCAAAGAACCCAGGCTCAAACGTTATTGCTTGATAGGCAGACCGTGATGCATTGAGGGTGTAAAAAGCCAGCTGAACTTGAAAATAAAACAATCAGCTTTAAAATTGATCCTTCCATATAATTTCCATACTAAAACAACTCAACAGGCTAAGCAAGCCTCAAGGTTTTAGCTACATTTTTTCCATCTTATTTTACAAATTGACATACAAAGTTCACTCAATTTTGATTCCAGATAAAGGGCAGAGGAAAATTTGCATTACTATACAGAAGTTAATTTCGCTCAAAGTTGCTAACCACGTTCTACATGCATAAATGGTCAATAAACTGGATATAAATTCACCGAACAATGTACTGTTTCCAGAATCTCTTACGCAATACAAATATCTCCGCCTAATTTTGAACTCATCAAAATTTAGCACTAAAATTAAGCTTGCTAGCAACTACGAACAACTCTTCAGATGAAAACGATGTGAGAATCTTTGATTAAACTATTCTAGGGAGACAGAACTCGATGAAAAAGAGAGAATATTGAGTACCTGCGACGGAGAAGCTTGGATGACGAGCTCGTTTCCGATGCGAGCAAGGCATGTGACTGAGCGAGCGAAGGTCTTGAGAGCATTTCCGCTCAGACTAAACTCCATTGAATCTCACTCTTTCGGCTTCCGATGATCGAGTCCGAGAGAGAAATGGAATCGTACTGGTTCTGTATTGGCGGGAAGAAGGAAGAATACTGCGCGAAGTTTCGAGTTCCGTGAATCAAAATTGCTCTGTGAAATAAAAATAAAATAAAATAAATAAATTGGCATTTTAATTTTGACGTCAGTTTGTTTTATTTTTAATTACTTAAAAAAAATATTTATTCAAATATCAAATATTCACCGCATCAAAATATTTGTCAACAGACTTCAAATATTTTTAATTTTTATAATAATCTTAAATGTATGGTTGGGTCGTAACCTTATATTCGGGTTTATCGAGTTGACCTAGTAAAAAAAATGTCAACCCACGTGCTAAACCAAATTTTCGATTTTTCAAAAAATTAACCTAATTCAAACTGAAGAAAAAAAAGCGAATAGTTCTCTATTCGGGTTTATCGAGTTGACCTGGTAAAAAAAATGTCAACCTACGTGCTAAACCAAATTTTCGATTTTACAAAAAATTAACTTAATTCAAACTGAAGAAAAAAAAAACGAATATTTTTACTATTGTTCTCTCTCTCGGTGCTCAAGCTCTATTTTGTATTTTTCATCTAAAGGTATTTAAATGACCTAAATACTCGACAAAAAAACCGTCCACTTTGAGCATAAACTCTCATGGTTTTGCTTTGGGTTTCCCCAAAAGACCTCGTAGCAATGGAGAGAGTATTCCTTGATTATAAACCGATGATCATTCCCTACATTAGCCGATGAGGACTTTCATCCAACACCTCCCCTCGAACAAAGTACACCTCCTCTTAATCGAGGCTCGACTCCTTTTCTTTTGGAGTTTTAGTCATTTTTTACTATGCCTTCAAGGAGCCTCGACTCGTTTGTCTTTTGAAGTTTTTTGTTCGACATTTGGGAATTCTATTGACATGACTATTTAGGGCATGACTCGGTTACCGTGTTAAGAAATAAGAAACGGAAGTGGGATTGAAAGTCCAACAAACGAAGGTGGAATCAAAAGTCTCAATCCAATTTTCATAAATGTTCCCGAACTAAATCTTAAAAATAAGATAAAATATTAAAATATATCAAATATAAAATCTAGAAAGAAAAAATGGAATATTTTTAATAATAAATAAAGGGTGTCCTCAAATGAAGAATATGAATAAAAGCAAAGAGAATATTAAAAATAATATAAACTCTCTAGAAATTGAGAAAAAAAGAAGAATATTAAAGGCAATTTTTGGTGGGTATTGTTCTTTATGCTTTTTTATTCTCCATCTTTATTTGATTTTTGTTAGTTTGTTGTTCTAAATTTTATCATTAGATATTGGTCACAAATCCAATCAAATATTGTGAAAAAGAAAAAGAGAGGAAAAAAACCGATGACCTTTAGTAAGTGTCGAAACCTTATGTTATTTACGATATTAACCTTGATTGTTAATGGAATAATGTCCGATAAATTGACATTTTAAGGGTATTTTGGTAATAGAACACAAGAGGAATCATATTCGAGGTAGAATAAGATAAACGAGACCGAAGCTCGATAACGTAGAAATTATAAAGAAAAATCATGGTACGATGTAATTAAATCATATTTAATGTCGTATGCCAGTTTTTTTTTTTTTTTTTTTTAATATAATATCAACTAGAGATATCGAATCTATGACTTTTTTTTTTTAATTTGAAGCTCTCGTAATTATAAACAATTAGAGCTTTTAATTATTATCAAACTTAGAAAACCCTTCTTTGAGCCCCACGAGCACGTCTTCTTGTCACCTCTTATCGTGCTTATGCATCTTAATACGTACTCTGTCAGCCATTAACCGTTGTATTAGTAAATACATTTCACGAGCTTTGACTCAAAGTTGTATAAAATACATGTCTCGATAATTTAGTTCTCGTTTCATGTTACCGATTTAGTCGCATACCAATAAATGTTTAAATAATATTTAAAAATATTATAAATACACGTACATCTATTTATCCTTATTAAAAAAACATCACTATCTAAAGAATTTATCACGTATATTATGTCACGTCAAATCATTATTTATCCAACTTTAATAATATAAAATAATTACAGTAAAAATTCAAATTTCATACCTTAACGTGTAAGATGATTTAAATAAACCTAATTTATTTATACACGATTTTTTTTTTTTTTTTTAATACGAGAGACTCAAGGATTCAGAACATACCAAGATACCAATAGAGAGTTTTACGAAACTACCCCTCCACATACTCTACAAGTGGTTCGAGATTTTGCATCTACGTGTTCAATATGGTAATTTGGGCGAACAAAAATTCTCTCACACGATTGAGCACCCATTCGGATTTTCATCGCTGAATATCTCGAGAGAATCGGACGGCTGTGATGAATATGGCTCGTAATCGGACGGCGGAATGTCAAACTCGTGTCGTACTCCAGGATGCACGTGTGCATAGGAATATTGCTGCGGCGTGGCATAATATGATTCGGGCTGGGGCTGAGAACATGTAGCGTATGCTGTACTGTACCGCACGGAATAAAGTGGGTGCGTAAAGGAATGTGGTACGTATTGAGTCACGAAGTGACGTGGAGAGCTCTCGTTCGCTATAATTGGAAGGGGGCCGGTTAGGGGTTGTGGACCGGGTTCTGGAGGACCCTGAGTTGGACCGGGCGGCGGTGCTCCGATCGCTGAAGCATCACCAGGAGCTTCACCGCCGGCATTGCCTCCGCCACCGCTACTCTTCTTCTTCTTTTTCTTCTTCTTTTTTTTGCCTCCGCTGCCGCCGGTTTGGCCGTCGCCTACCGGAGCAGAACCAGGCTGCTTCGCTTGGCCACCACTGCCGTCGTCAGTGACTTTCCCGGCGGTGTCTCCATTTTTCGTCGGGTCCTGGACTTCTAATTTCACCTTTTCCTTTTCGTCTTCATGGCCGCTGCTTTCGTCGGAGCTTTCAGAGTCGCTTTGTTTCTCTTTCTTCTTCGATTTTCCTTTCTTTTTTACTTTGGAATCGGAATTTTCCGGCCAGAGCTCCGCGTGCTTCCCTGTCTTCAACAATTTCTTTATCAAAGTTTCCGATTCGACGTTACCTTTCACAACTACTTTCTGTTGCCTCCAATCGATATCCGTTTCGTAAACTCCTGAAAGGTCACGTTCATCGTTAAGCAGATATTCTCGAATCCGTATTCCAGAGAAACAACAATAATCGATTAGAGAACAAAGAGAAAAATAGCGAGTTTCAAAGAGAGAGAGAAAATTCTGACTGTTTCTATCGCCATTAGTTACAGAAATCAAGTTATCGACAAACGAATATGCCAAAAAGAGAAGAAATGACGAGTTCGAGTAGAGAAAGAGGATGCGGATTCATGAAATCGCCATGGCAGAATCATCAAAACTTGTTTCAATTCTTTCGGAAACAAAGATGCCTAGTACGCATTAATTTCAAAAGAGAAATCTCAGTACGGAACAAAAACACAGAACGAAAGAGAGAGATTCCATCAGCAAAATCAAAGAGGACGAAACATCGAAATCAACCTTCAACGTCCTTGAGAACTCGTTTAACTTTCCTCTTGCAGGCTTCGCAGTGGATCGAGACTTTCAAAATCCACGTCTGAGAGAATCAGAACAACAACAACAAAAAAGAATTACAGAAGCGTCAAGCAAAATAAGGCATCTAGCGAAAGGTAGAAGAAGGAATTTGAGGAACTTTAAAAAACTAAGATGAATCTACCTTGTATACGAGAGGAGGTTCCGCGTTTTCTTCAATTTCCTTGAGCTCTAGCTTGGCTTCTGGTTCTGCCATTAAAGGCACTGGAGCTCTGAGGTCTGTTCTTGGGGAGAGAGACGGTGAGAGAGATAAAGCGAAATTGTAGAGAGGGAGATATGCTTTCGAGGGTATTTCAAGTATTTTTTTAAAATAAATGGAGACGCCTTTGTAAGAAAGAATCAGTGAAAATATTTTGAAAAAATATATAATTATTAATTCTTTTAAAAATAATAAGGGCTATTTTGCAAATATTTTTCGAAAATGCCTCATTTTTTATATTTTAAAATTTTTGTAGGGACTAATTAATCAATTTAAAAGTTTAAGGGTATGATGGGTAAATAACAAACTTTATAGGGTGTTGCATGCAATTTTTTTTACCGATTTCAAATTAATCATAATTGTTAAATTACAAATTTAATTAGTTTTGGAAGTATTTTTCAGATTAATTTTATCACTAAACGAATTTAATTTAATTTCGAGAAAAATACGTATAGTTTTACGGGTTTATATTTTCGTTTGGTCCTTATATTTTGAAATATTGCATTTTTACCTATGACTTTTGAGTTTGGTTTTGAAAATATTTTGAAAAGTAGCTCGTATATGACTACTAATTCCTTAAAAAATGGTAAGGGACTATTTTGCAAATATTTATCGAAAATGACTCGTTTTTTATAATTTAAAAATTGCACAAACCACCCTTAAATTAATTAAGTATTTCATAACAAAATATAAGGACTAATAAATCAATTTAAAAGTTTAAGGATCTGTGATGGGTAAATAACATACAATTTTTTTTAACTGATTTCAAATTAATCATAGTTGTTATATTATAAATTTAATCAGTTTTTAAAGTATTTTTTAGATTAATTGCATCATTAAACGCGTTTAATTTAGCTTTGAGAAAAAATACGGCATATCGTTTACGGGTTTATATTTTTGTTTGGTCCTTATATTTTGAAATATTGCATTTTTATCTATGACTTTTGAGTTTTGTTTTGAAAAGGTAGTTAATTCCTTCGAGCAGGGCTATTTTGCAAATATTTTTCAAAAATGACTCATTTTTTATATTTTAAAATTTTCATAACAAAATCTAGGGACTAATTAATCAATTTAAAAGTTTGAGGGTGAGATGGTAAATAACAAATTTTGTAGGGTGTTACGTGCAATTTTTTTAAGAGATTTTAAATTAATCATAGTTGTTAAGTTACAAATTTAATGAGTTTTGGAAATATTTTTCATATTAATTTCATCATTAAACGTATTTAATTTATTTATGAGAAAAATACATATCTTTTTACGGGTTTATATTTTTGTTTGGTCCTTATATTTTTAAATATTGCATTTTTTACCTATGACTTTTGAATTTGGTTTTGAAGAAGTAGCGGGTATATAATTACTAATTTCTTAAGGGCTATTTTGCAAAAAAAAAAAAAAAAAAAAAAAAAAT